ACATATAACTGTATAAACAGAACAATCTATGCAGTTATACAAAACATATAACTGGATAAACAGAACAATCTATGCAGTTATACAAAACATGGAACTGTATAAACAGAACAATCTATGCAGTTATACAAAACATGGAACTGTATAAACAGAACAATCTATGCAGTTATACAAAACATGGAACTGTATAAACAGAACAATCTATGCAGTTATACAAAACATGGAACTGTATAAACAGAACAATCTGGGAAAGGGGGGGGGGGGAGGGCGCGCCAACAGCAGTATTACAAAAAATGGCAGGCTCCTTAAACATTTATTTTAAAAAGTCTCAAGTTTATGTGTAATTCCCACTGTCAGCATTTCTGGGCAGATTCCATCACACCCAGGTGCTCTCTCAACACTTTGAGCTTTAATCGCCTCTCTAACCTCTGCCTCTGAAAAAGGCTCTAGGCTTATCTGTAGGGTTTCCTGTGCCTCAGGTATATCAGCAAGTACAGGTGGGTCTGGACAGTTCCAGGCCAATGTAAATAGGAGGAATGTTTTCTTTTAAATTTGACAGCATCTTTATCGGAGGCGTGTAACCAACAGTCTGCTCATAAATAAGCCAAATATGTAAAACAGATATGTCTATGCAACACTCAAGTCCTGAACAAGACCTAAGTCCAGAAGTGGATGAACAACCAGCACTTTCTGTCAGAGTCAACAGCCGGTAAACATAAAGAAAAACTGTTGTCAGAAACAGAAAGAATATGACACAAAAATGATAAATATCATTTATATAAAACACAGACAGGAAACAAATATTTTCATTCCTGGTTTTTATTATGAGAGGCTCCAATTAAAAATAAATGACAAGAAAAGCAATGGTACAAAATAAATAAGTAGAAAAACAAACGTATACTTTTACAATATTTATAAAATACAGTTGTAGAAAGTCTATTATTTACAACACTGGAATGTATTTAGCAATAACCAACAATGTATTTCTGATGGAGTCAGAATTATCGTTTACACACAAACAATTTGGTTGAAAATGGCAAAAACATCTGGAATGTTCTGAAACTGCATTAAAATTTAAATTTTTTTTTTTTTATTTATAACTTTCAGCTATCATTATAAGCTCACCTACTGGCATATATAAATAGCATGACATATTTACTATTAATGGATGTAACACATCAAGAATGACTAAAACACTTAACTAAAACAATATAATTAAAATATTTTGGCCTATTAAAAGATACAACACTCTTCTACTTGAGGGAAAGACAGACAGAAAAAGGTAGACAATTATACTATTGGGAGAAAATATCAAGAGATGGACGTACAGCAGCTTGAGAGAGCCAAGACAAGAGACAGAGCTTGTTGGAGATCCATTGTAACCTTTATTGTTGAGATGGCCCCTGATTGGCTGAAAACATTACACTAATGTAGAGACATTCACTAACTGATGCCTGCACAAAATAAAACAGTTCTGACAGAATTGCTAATGTGGAGAGAAAGAAAAAAGAAGAAATTAGCAAATCAAGATGTGAGAGGATACAAGCTGATCTCAGGACACACTGAGAAAGCTTGTTTATAATATAACTAACTAACAAGTCCTTTCTTTGGAATCCACAGAGAGAAGTAACTAACGGACACCTAAAACACATGGAGACGAGAACTTGAGTCAGAGATTAATAATATGGGTAGGGAATTAGGACACCTGCACACTGGAGTGAAAGAACACAGAACCAGCCAATCTGTAAAACTGATTATTTCCCAACACACCAGCATACCCTGGTGAACACATCCTAAGGACGTCAGTGTCACGGGGACCTCTTAGCAATGCATGCCCCTCTGCATGGGACATACCTGTTTCCACTTTTCTCAACATGCTCTGTGAGACAGTTACAATCACGGCATGTGTGTTATTTGGTTCTCAAGCAGGAGAAGCTTGCAGTGACTATCTCCACTTTTCTCAACATGCTCTGTGAGACAGTTACAATCACGGCATGTGTGTTATTTGGTTCTCAAGCAGGAGAAGCTTGCAGTGACTATCTCCACTTTTCTCAACATGCTCTGTGAGACAGTTACAATCACTGCATGTGTGTACAGTTAGTTCTCAAGCAGCAGAAGCTTGCAGTGACTATCTCCACCTTCATTCTTAAACGAGATGTATCAAATGCTAGGTTATTTTACAGTAAGCGACATCCATTCACTTTTTGATACAAACTCCAATGCACTTCTTCTTCCTGGAGCAACACAAAGCCATATAAATAGATAACCACATCAGCTGGACAGGAATTGACATGAATCATTAGTTGAACGTCTGAGTCTGCAGCACCTGCTGGCTAGTCCCTACAATCACAACCTAATGTGATTAGAAACCTGCACATCTCTAATTGTTGCTATTACACTTTGACCAACTCCTCTCCTCGTCCAATATTCTGTGCACATGTCATATTGTGTCTTCAGCTTATCCTACCCAGAACAGAAAGGAATGGAGGTCTTGACTCAGAGTCCTATGCGACATATAACAGCATAAGTAGATGATGACAATGAATCGTGACAGATACTGCCAAAGCCATATGAAATTTCAGGCCCTCACATATTCTAGGTAACCGTATAATAAAACAGGGGGTATAAATATATATATACATATATATATATCCATAGGAAAGATGATAAATTACAACTATTTATTAAAAAAAATCATGTAACAAATTATACTTGTTATAAATTAATCATTAAAAAAGTAAATTAAAAATATGGAATGGCAGTCAAACGTTATAAACTGTTTGGCACAATAAACATGAATTGGCTCTTTCATCTAAACATGGACAAATATGATACTTTAGTAACTTCAGGGACTCTGTTCCTGACTTCTGCACATCAGACTTATAGTGGTCTCTATTTTTTTTTGGTTTATTCAAAGAGCCCATGGTACATGATGGTGGCATCTGTGGCTAAGGCGTTGCGAGTCTGACTCGTAATTCCAACATATCTTGACTGAAACCCACTGCTGGCTGCGTGGATTTTTATCATGGTATGGGGCGTCGCGTAATGCTGACCACATTACCCACCTAGTGATGAGTGGTCTGTAAAAAATATGGGTACTCTTTGCATATGCCCGATGCGCCTAAGTCATAAAAAAGGGATCTTTTGTCTTTTGTTATGGTACATGATGGGTGATGTGGTCAGCATGACACTGACTGCCCTAACTTCCAACGACATTGTGTGGCACCTATTTTAAGATGGGTCAACCTCGGAGCCAAGATCAACTTTAAAATAAAAAAGTAAACGACCCTTTTCCACACCCTTAGGCGTATAGGGCAAGACCTATATTTTTATAGACCCATCGGCACAAGATGGGTGATGTGGTCAGCATCACGCCGACCACCTTTACTTCCTGGGACTGCACCCGGTACCCACTCAAGGCTGGGTCGACTTGAAAGCCAAGGTCATTTCTGAAAATAGTCTGGCTCCGCCAGGGAGCGAACCCACGACCTTCCTATCGGCCACGGCGACCCCCAAGATCAATTTTGGAGAAAACAAAAGCTAAATAATAAAAAGAAACAAATAGCACTACAGATGTACACTTGAGTGTAAGGCATTGTAAACAAGAAACATAAAGCCTTGAAATAATGATGAAATATTCATCCAGAAAGATAGAATAATCAACTGGAGCTCAAGATAAAACTAAAGTTGGCTTTATTTAAATTTACCTGTTTCTTCTTCTTATCATTGTTATCACTTTCTTCTTATCATTGTTACCACTTTCTTCTTATCATTGTTATCACTTTCTTTTTATCTTTGTGATCACCTTCATCATCAGGATCTAGAGCTAAAATAATATATATATATATATATATATATATATATATATATATATATATATATATATATATATATATATATATATATATATATATATATATATATATATATATATATATATATATATATATATATATATATATATATATGCTACACAAGCATACACACATAGACAGTCTAGAACTGCTGAGATAATGTCAGTGAGATGCTTCAATAGATTTATCCAAGCTTCGGGTAGCAGTCAACATCCATTTGTTGAACATGATCAAGTTTAGTAAATTCACAGGATTTTATAATTCAACCACTGACTGGTTTTATATAGTTGGAGATGTTTATTTCTCTCAGGAGATGTCTGTTTCTCTCAGGAGATGTCTGTTTCTCTTAGGAAATGTCTGTTTCTATCAAATGTTTCTTTTTGGAGATGTCTGTTTCTATCAGGAGATGTTTTATTCTCTCTGGAGATGTTTGATTCTCTCTGGAGATGTTTGATAGTTTCTCTCAGGAGAAATTTTTTCACTTAGGAGATGTTTGTTTCTCTCAGGAGATATTTATTTTTCTCAGATGTTTGTTTCTCTCAGGAGATGTCTGTTTCTCTCAGATTTTGTTTCTCTCAGGAGATTTTGTTTCTTTCATGGGATGTTTGTTTTTCTCAGGAAATGTTTTTCTCTCTCAGAAGATTTCTGTTTCTTTCTGGATATGTTTATTTCTCTCAGGAGATGTCTGTTTCTCTCAAATATCTGTTTCTCTCTGGAGATGCTTGTTTCTCTCAGATGTTTGTTTCTCTCAGGACATGTTTGTTTCTCTCAGATGTTTATTTCTCTGAGATTTTTATTTCTCTCTGGAGATGTCTGTTTCTCTCCGGAGATGTTTCTTTTTCTCAGGAGATGTCTGTTTCTCTCAGGAGGTGTTTTTGTTTCTCTCAGGAGATGTTTGTTTCTCTCAGGAGATGTTTGTTTCTCTCAGGAGATGTTTGTTTCTCTCAGGAGATGTTTGTTTCTCTCAGGAGATGTTTGTTTCTCTCAGATGTGGCAGACACTGCTTATTTTTTATACTGTTCTCAGCATGTCTCTTGCAAACAAACCAAAAAACATCTGAGCCTTAAATGGGTACCAAATCTTCTCTGGCACATCTCCTCTCACTAGCAAATAGAAATATTGGTCATGAAGATATTATAGACATGTCTTTTATACAAAAACATCATCACTTGTTGCCTCCACTTTTATATGATCTCTGGATTGAATTAGATCAGTAACGGGAAGAGAGCCCTCATCTTCCCTTACATTCTGTTCACTCCGTGATCTGCTGGTTCCTTGCATACTCCGACTGTTGGGAGCCGCTGGCAGTGGTCCTCTGTCATCAGCAGATTCCTGTTTCCTGATCCCCTGCCTTGGAGCTGGCACAGGTCTGTGAGATGCCTGCATAGGTCCTTGCGAAGACTCTGTTGTATGTCTGTCTGGATGTTGTGCAGCTTTCATGCGAGACTTTCTCAAGGATGGCTTTGGCTTGAACATGCTGGCTGCTGTGTCTGGATCAGACTGAGGCACTGAACCACTGCTTGTAGAATGTTGTGCTTCACCCTGCATGTCTGAATGAGCAGCATTATTACTACTGTTATTTGCATTCAAATTTTGAAAGTCACCAACATTACCTCTGCTGCTCTGAAGTTCAGCCTGTTGTCTACTTCTTTCTATGGAAGATGGTTTTCTATGATCATGTCTGTTTACATAATTATGACTGGGAGCTGCAGCCGTTCTGTCAGATGGCAATGACCTGCTTGATCCTGGCAGAAGATGTTCATGACTAGAACCTCTTGATTGTGTGTGTGTTTTCTGGGAAGAATCTGAATTAGCTTGAGTGGACGCTCTTGCAGATTCTAAAGGATTTCTTCTGTGCTGTGACCAGCAATTGTCAGCTGGAGAATAGTCCAGCTGGTCATCTGTATGTCCACTGTATAGATTTCTATGTGTAGCTTCAGTTTTGGAAACAGGTAAGTGTGCTTCACCATGTAAATGTTCTTTCACAGGAGGAAGATTGGAGTACTGCCCCCTTACTCTTTGAGCATCAATCTTGTCTCTTGAACTCTTTGGAAAATATCCTGGAGAATTAGAGGATCGATTTTGTCTGTGTTGTTGAAGACCATCTTGCTCACTCCCTCCTTCATAACCTAACTTGTCATGTGTTCTTATTGTGGTCCCATCCCTTATATTTTCATAGCTTTGTGTTGCATATCGGTCCAGATGCTCGCGAGGTCTCTCTCTGATTAAACCTCTACCATTGTTAAAGTGATCTAGGCTATCTCTTGCCAGTGAGGTATCCCCCACTCCTGCATAGCTAAATCTCTTGTCTTCCTCCCGCACTCTTGCACCACTTCCATCCAACAATCTTGCCGACCCTGCTCCCAAAGACAGATCAAAACAGCTTTGTGATCTTGAAGTATCTGTCACTTTAGGAAGATGTTTTTCCCAGCCATCACTAGGTGCGCCTGGATGCTGATCTCCCACATTCTCTCTATCAACATTTTGATGAGAATGCTTTCCCTTATTTTTCTGATACATATCAGTTCTAGCCCTTCCTTGCTTTGATTCTCTCTCAGCATCTCTAAAGCCCTCACTGCCACTCAGAACATGGCTTTGAGCCCCTCCACTTTTATCTACAAATCTCTCTGTTGGAAGTAAACGGTGGCCCTGTCTGCCAGCAGAAACATTTCTGAGGTCTCCAGAACTTCGCTGCTGATCTCTGATGTCCGTGACATTCAACTGCTCCCTGCCAGCATTGTTCTCACGTCTGCTACTGTCAGATTCTTCTATGCGCTTGTTTAATACCGGTGTGGCCCTTTCTTGGCCATTAGAATTCACCTTCACAAAACCGAGAGATCCCAAAATAACTTGTGCACTTTCTTCGTTGTTACTATATTTAGGAGAACTTCTTTGAGATCCAGCATCTTGAGCTAACTCTTTGTTACGTTTGGTCAGATTCATGTTTGATCTAGAACTGTCTATAATGAGGCCATTTGAAGTTAGACGATGTTCATTTTCCACAGAGCTCTCAGATGATGATGACGAATCAAACTGTCGAAACTGGTCAGGTACATCTTCAGAAGAACTAGAAGATGAGACCTCAGCTCTGGGATCCAGAGAAGCTGAGATTGTTGTTGTAAGGACAGCTGATGAGTTCTGATGTGAGGTTCTGGTGGCTTCCCCGTGGCCACTGTTTGCTGTAGCTGTAATGATGATGTTACCATTCTGCTGAGATGTTGGTGAAACTGCTTCCTCATAAGATGGGGGTTGAGCCATATTGTTTCCATGCTGAGACCAAGTAAAAGCCTGGGGAAGAAAGTCATTTACACGTTTTAGACTGTCAAGTTATTTCTCTGTGCATAAGAAGTTACTACCAATAATGTCAATCTTAACATAAAAACATTACAGAAATACTAGTTATGTTTCTCTTGTTATGTTACTTTAATTATGTTTCACAGACAATAAAAAGCTTTTGGACCAGGGAAAGCATGTGGGTAATATCACAAAGCTAGAAAGCTTAACTACCACTGACATTCATTAACAGAACAGTAAGAAATGACTACAAACAGCAGCACTAAGAAATGACTACAAACAGCAGTACTAAGAAATGGCTATAAACAGCAGCACTAAGAAATGACTACAAACAGCAGCACTAAGAAATGACTACAAACAGCAGCACTAAGAAATGACTACAAACAGCAGCACTAAGAAATGACTACAAACAGCAGCACTAAGAAATGACTACAAACAGCAGCACTAAGAAATGACTACAAACAGCAGCACTAAGAAATGACTACAAACAGCAGCACTAAGAAATGACTACAAACAGCAGCACTAAGAAATGACTACTAACAGCAGTAGTAAGAAATGACTACAAACAGCAGTAGTAAGAAATGACTACAAACAGCAGCACTAAGAAATGACTACAATTTATGTCTCAATATATACAGTAGTGGGCCCCAACCACCCACACACCCACAAAACCAGTATGTTTGTCATCTCCTGACTTATTTAAAATACCTTATAATCAAGTTTTTTTTCTGTAACCATCTTCTTCTTCAGTAAATTCTAAGCCCACGTGATTCACTGCTGTAGATTTTACCCATCTTTATTCATCTCTGTGACTGGACTTCTCTTTCTAGCTGGTGACTAAGTGTTTGTGGGTTTGCTTCATGGCTACTCCCATACAAATCTTTACAGTATGTTAGATTTGCTTCCATTTTATCTGCCATACTCTCTGTATGCCTCAAACTTAATTCATCTGGTAGTTTTGACATGATTTAACTGTATTTCCACTGTACAAAATCCAAGGAGGGTCAAAGGATAACAAAGGAAAAGGAGGGGGAGGGGGGGGGGGGGGGTGGGTGCACAGTGGGTCTATTTCTCTCCCCCCCCCCCCACCCCAAAATGGGAGTCATACAACTCACACAGGAAAGTGGGTACATCTACAGCAGAACAAACATAATCACCCCATGTATTGTGTGTGTATGTTCCTAAGGTATGTGTATGTGTTATGTACATGTGTGGATATTGTATGTTACTCATCATTCTTACCATATTCAAATATCCAATTGGAGTACTCTGAAGAACCTCATCATACGAGGGAGGATGCTCTCCAGATCTGAGGGTTACACTCATCTGAACATCCCTGTTGTGTCTCATGCGTTGCCGATCTGCTCAATTTAAAAAAACAAAAAACATTTTTTTAAAGACCAAGAAAGTAGTGATCTACATGAGATTAAAGACAGCATATTTGCATCCCAGCCTAGAGGTCACACAATCAAATGTTTTTGGATTTTAAAAACTGACTTGGGTTTGGAGGATTGAGGGCTTCACGGATAGTGCTGTTGCCACAGACTGTGCAGGTTAGGATTTTAATTTTGCCTCCGACAGATACAAATCTCCAACCTTACAAAGGATTCAAACCTAGATCCCCCACACAACAGCCAAGCATTGTTAACCATTCGGTCAGCCAAGCTTCGACTTGGGTTCAAAGTGGAAATATTGGTACCAGGAATCGTCTCTGAAATGTCGAACGTGGCTGATGTGATGTTGATAATATCATCCATTTAGTGCCAGCCAATCATCATCATGTTCTGTCACGCTGATGAACCTAGGCTGTCATGTTTCATCATCTCACAGGATCACCAGAATCATGGGTCAGGTCTGTGCTCTTGTCTCACTACATACATATGGCCTAGCCATCCAGGTATGTATCTCTCTGCCTCCTTCTTGCTCTCTTTCCACCAATCTTGCCACGTGTGTAGCAAGTCCTGGAGCCCATTCCTTTTCATTTCTGAAAAACACTGACTGTTTACGTAAATTTGTCTAATCAATTTACATCTGTCACTTGTCACAACAAGGACTGACACACACATGTTTTTCTATCAGTCCTTGAAATTGCTGGCATTTTTTCTATAAAAAAAAATCTTAAGACAAGTTGTTTTTTTTTAGCTTGTCTGCTTACTGTCTCATGTGCATATGGCTGGCCAGTAAGTAAATACATATTTATGGCCAGTTATCATGTGTTCTTCTCATACAGTGCTATTTACAGTCTGTGATTTTGTTTTGTTTTGTTATTTACACACAAACTTAAAAATCTGGACTTATTTGATTACCATAAGGCTTCTCACTCAAATTAGCTACAAAAAATATTTTTGAAAAATGAAAAAAAAAAAGGCAAAATCTCTGTATCAAAGTGGTCAAGCAATTGCCTTTTGAAGGTACTGGGTTTATTTAATTGACACAGCGTTAAGTTTGTGGGGTGCAGATTTTATGAAGATGCCTGAGGACTGCCACTGGCGGTATAGGCTTTATGTGACGCTCTCGATCGGTTGTTAGCCATTCTGCAGAGACAGAATGAGCTACATGGGATGGAGGGAAGTTTATTCTCTGAATTTTACATTTTAATTTTCTCACTCAGACCAAGTATTAGGGCAGCTACCTTCCCTTTTACAACATAAGACATTCCCAGTCCACACAAAAAAACATCTCATACAAAGCCTATTCATTCCATGGTCACTCACATCAAACCAGGAAACAAAATTAGTAACCATGGAAATGAGATGTTTGAGAATGGCTGCAGGAGTGACCAGAAGAGATAATACAAGGAATGAGGTCATCAGAGAAACAGTTGGTATATAACTAATTCTAAATTACACACAAAGACAGCAAATCAAATTCTTTGCCTGCTTAGAAAGGATGCCCTATGATTAGGTATCATACATAGCATACAACAAAGGAGGAGATGGACAAAAAGCACAAGGGAGACCAGAGACATGATGGAAAGATAACAACAGAGAAACTCTACATTAGCACCATATATCTGTGCTTCAGATGGCCAGAAGAAAAAGAAACACAACCTTATATCTGCCATGGCATCTGAAGAGGTAACAGAAGAAATGAAGAAAAAAGACTCAAATCTTCTAGTCTGGAAAAAAAAAAAAGAAATCAGAAGACAGAAATAAACAGCCACAGAAACAAAACACAAGATAGAAATAAACAGCACAAGCAGGCAAGCTGGAAGCTTTCTGAAGCAACTTACTTGAACGAAGGCCTGGCGGTCTCCTAGCACGGACTTCATTATTGAGTTTGCGGCATCGGCGAATGAAGATGACGAGGACGCACACGACGATGATGAGGAATAAGGAGACCACAACAGGGATGATGATGCCGATGCTGAGTGGATAACTGCTGTTGGAGTGGGTCGTTGCATACGCTGTGAATTATAGTGAACAGTAGGTCAGAGGTTACTGTGCTAATAGCACTCACTGGTCTGAGTTTTTCATTATATTATTCTTCATGTTCACTGGTTACAAAGTCCAGAGGAAAGTTCTGGTTGTTCATTCACTTCCGGACTAGTCTTGTTCTAGAAAATGAGTTTTGCATGCACATCCAATTTAAAGATCTGCCTTATTAGTAAGCAGACTGTTGGTTCCTTGCCTTTCAGGTAAGCAGACTATTATGACATGCTTGTAAGCCAAGCAGCAGGTCTTTTTTCCCAATCCTGCAATGGGGCCCCGGAACAGGAAAGAGTGAGGTCAAAATGAGTGATGATGAGCAAACATCCATACAAAATACTTTTGAGCAGATCACCATAACAATGTAAACAGGCAACTAGACCTGTCCTATCACTGTAGTTGGTACTTAATTACCGGGCCTTTTCTGAATGAAGAAATGTAACCCGAAAACCTGATGTAATGGCAGGACAGACCGGGCCCTTAGTGTTTGCTGGCAGCTGGTCCAAGTGGAAAGCTCCGACAGGCAGAGAGACGGAGCCCTGCTCTTCTGATCTGACAGCTTCTGCAGCCTGCTTTGTTCTAAATGTGCTGCTGTTACCTTTTCTTTGGAGTAAACAAGGCAGGCTAAGCGAAGGTTCATACTACATGTTCTCTTCAATACTGCCCAGGCTTTGTTGAGTTGAGTCAAGAATTGACATCACAGCACTCGGGGCATTCCCATGCATGCTCCGTTCTCATCTCCAGCAGCCAGCGCAGAGTTCCAATACTGATGGTACCGGTCACAATCTGTTTCTCCAGTCCAGGCTTTGTGTTATGGGAAAGGTGAGCTTCATCTATGGCCTAAATTGGTCTTATGGGCTTTGATTCTTCTGTCTCCCTATAGCATAAAATAACACCATCATCTGGAGAGACATACAGTCATGTGTGACTATGATTTGAGGGCTATTGTTTTCCCAGCCATACAGCCATGCAGTTTTGTCACTGGTTTCTTTTTCTTATCTGCTTTGTTAGGTAATCTCCTGCCAGCTGTCACAAACTTGTAATTTCTGACCTGCAACTATTTGGTCAGCTCCTGTCCACGTTATTTTGCCACCTGATGTCAGTTTCTTCTTATTCTATACGATCAACAGCTGTGAACTCTGGGGTCAAGCTGTGGCGGTTGTTCATCCTTTCTGGACTTGTTCCGGAACTTGAAGTTTTTTGTATGCAGGCTGTTGGTTCCTTGCCTCTCAGGCAGAGGCACTCTAACTTCGAAGGACAACCCTAATCAGTCGACTCTTATGATATGCTTGTTAGGGAGATGGTGGCTCTATTCTCTGTTTTCCCCCATGATGAGATAACTCTTCTTGTCTAAGAGTATTCAAAGGCTGGCAGTGTCATGGCTATTATTTTTTTGTGAGGTCACTAGATTTTTCTTAGTGTAGAAACTATTTCTTCTATTCTGCTGATCCACCATTTAACAGTACACACATCTGAGGGACATCTGAACTGATATATTCTTTAGTCAAACACAGTGTTGAATATTTCAACCGACATGTCATTTAGTAGGACACATATCATCTGATGCACATTTGAACTAATCCATCTATGTGATGAATGTATACATGCTGCAGGAGATTGTGGATTATGGAGAGGCATGATCGCCCACGCCAGTCAGCAAGGCACCTAATAATGATGATGATGATGAATGTACAAAGTGTGTAAAAAAGGTGTAAGAAGGGACACTACATTCTTTCTTTTAAAAAAAACAAGGTTTCTAAAAAATGATCACAATTAAGCCTTATTCACAACTCTCTGCCCACATAAACATTTTGATGTCAGACTAATGGTAAAAGTAGGGCTTCCATATGGGTGGGTCTGCTACGGATATGTAGAATCAAGCTGGCCTAATATTCATCTCTACCATCTTGACAACAATCCTAATAATTCCACTTCAGTGTCAAAGCTATCAATCTCTCTGGATGCTATCTAGTTTATTACATTTTTTCAGAATGTAACATAATGAAAGAGAAAAAAAAAAAAAAAAAACAGGATTTTCATTGACTGAAAAGGAGTGGAACAAAACATTTGTACTTACTACACAAGCTGGAATATTCATCGCTACCATCTCCACAATGGTCACAACCATCACACTTCAAGGCCAAGGCAATGCACCGGTCATTTCTGCATCTGAAGTAGCCTCCAAAGTCATCACAGCCTGTAATTGTACACATACATTTATTGATCTCACATTTATGTTTACAGCTACTGTGTCTCCTGGCATCAATCCTGAATATAAATTCGGCTAGATGTCATAACAACTATCTTTTAGGTGACTTTTGTTTTTTTTTAAATTCTCTGAGAATTTATCCCTGTGTACACATTTTCCTTTATGTCTCAATAATTTTGCAACAAACTTTAGGTTAATGCATTTGTGTGTGTTTGCGGCCATTGTTTGTTTGCTTGTAAACAATTTTCTGACATCAGTTATGTATGCTTATCTTGCACCATTTTCTATACAACTATAAAACTGATCTTTCAGTTTACTTTAAAACAAGTATGTTTTTAACTTCCAATATAACTGAAGAATGGAATTAGTTTAAAATTCATTACTTTGAAAGATTACTTGGTAAAAAGGTGTTAGTGATACCTGTTTCTTCATTTTGTGCTCATCAGGTCAAGGCAATAAAGTGTGAATCCGTTTGCATATCATCACTATCTTGTTGTGCCATATACATCTTACATGCGGCTCACAGATGATTCCTCCATTCTATTCCATCCAGCACATAGAGAGGCTGCCTTTTTCTAATCTTATTTCTTCCTCCCTTACAGCTCCTCTTCCTCCATAAATGTTTTCTCCACCACTTTTTCCTATTCATTTTTGTTTTGTTTCTCCTCCTGTTGATGTTGCCGTGCCCCACATACTGGGTTGGAATCCCCATCAACTGATGGGCATTTGTTTCTGGCCAGGACAAACAATACAGTCCAAACCAGCAGAGTTCAAGGTTAACCTGGCCCTAAATTCTCATGCTTTTAAGTATGGCTGGCATATTTTCCTAGTCTCTTTCCTTTTTTCTTCTGAAACCAATGTATTCGATTACTTTTGTTTACCAGAAACTTAACTCTTTGAGTTCCAAGGAAAGCATCATTCGTTTATAGGTTCCTACCTAGAAGCCCAATGAACGCATAATGTGCCGATTTTATTACTTTCTTTACTACCCACTGGGCCTGTGATGCTAAACCCCCTGGGACTCAAAGAGTTAATATACCTTTGTCTGTACAGCCAGAGCTTCTATTCAACTTTCATTGCTTGTTCACTATCCAAGCTTTTGCCCTTATAGTTTTAGTTGAGGAAACTCAATATTTTACAACTTGTATGTCTCTAGATACTAAGAATATTTGTCAAGTCTTGTTAAAGAACTGCTTAATTCTTGTCCAAGATATAGAGACATTTATTACTTGTTGAAATAAAACATTTATTACTTGTTAAAATATAACATTTATTACTTGTTAAAATATAACATTTATTACTTGTTGAAATAAAACATTTATTACTTGTTGAAATATAACATTTATTACTTGTTGAAATATAACATTTATTACTTGTTGAAATGAAACATTTATTACTTGTTGAAATGAAACATTTATTACTTGTTGAAATAAAACATTTATTACTTGTTAAAATAAAACATTTATTACTTGTTAAAATATAACATTTATTACTTGTTGAAATAAAACATTTATTACTTGTTGAAATATAACATTTATTACTTGTTGAAATAAAACATTTATTACTTGTTAAAATATAACATTTATTACTTGTTGAAATAAAACATTTATTACTTGTTGAAATATAACATTTATTACTTGTTGAAATAAAACATTTATTACTTGTTGAAATATAACATTTATTACTTGTTGAAATATAACATTTATTACTTGTTGAAATATAACATTTATTACTTGTTGAAATATAACATTTATTACTTGTTGAAATAAAACATTTATTACTTGTTGAAATATAACATTTATTACTTGTTGAAATAAAACATTTATTACTTGTTAAAATATAACATTTATTACTTGTTAAAATAAAACATTTATTACTTGTTGAAATAAAACATTTATTACTTGTTAAAATATAACATTTATTACTTGTTGAAATATAACATTTATTACTTGTTGAAATATAACATTTATTACTTGTTAAAATAAAACATTTATTACTTGTTGAAATAAAACATTTATTACTTGTTGAAATAAAACATTTATTACTTGTTGAAATATAACATTTATTACTTGTTGAAATAAAACATTTATTACTTGTTAAAATATAACATTTATTACTTGTTAAAATAAAACATTTATTACTTGTTAAAATATAACATTTATTACTTGTTGAAATATAACATTTATTACTTGTTGAAATAAAACATTTATTACTTGTTGAAATAAAACATTGATTACTTGTTGAAATAAAACATTTATTACTTGTTGAAATAAAACATTTATTACTTGTTGAAATAAAACATTTATTACTTGTTGAAATAAAACATTTATTACTTGTTGAAATATAACATTTATTACTTGTTGAAATAAAACATTTATTACTTGTTGAAATAAAACATTAATTACTTGTTAAAATAAAACATTTATTACTTGTTGAAATATAACATTTATTACTTGTTAAAATAAAACATTTATTACTTGTTGAAATAAAACATTTATTACTTGTTGAAATATAACATTTATTACTTGTTGAAATAAAACATTTATTACTTGTTGAAATAAAACATTTATTACTTGTTGAAATATAACATTTATTACTTGTTGAAATATAACATTTATTACTTGTTGAAATATAACATTTATTACTTGTTGAAATATAACATTTATTACTTATTGAAATATAACATTTATTACTTGTTGAAATAAAACATTTATTACTTGTTGAAATATAACATTTATTACTTGTTAAAATAAAACATTTATTACTTGTTAAAATAAAACATTTATTACTTGTTGAAATATAACATTTATTACTTGTTGAAATATAACATTTATTACTTGTTGAAATAAAACATTTATTACTTGTTGAAATAAAACATTTATTACTTGTTGAAATATAACATTTATTACTTGTTGAAATATAACATTTATTAATTGTTGAAATAAAACATTTATTACTTGTTAAAATAAAACATTTATTACTTGTTGAAATAAAACATTTATTACTTGTTGAAATATAACATTTATTACTTGTTGAAATATAACATTTATTACTTGTTGAAATATAACATTTATTACTTGTTGAAATATAACATTTATTACTTGTTGAAATATAACATTTATTACTTGTTGAAATATAACATTTATTACTTGTTAAAATATAACATTTATTACTTGTTAAAATAAAACATTTATTACTTGTTGAAATAAAACATTTATTACTTGTTAAAATATAACATTTATTACTTGTTGAAATATAACATTTATTACTTGTTGAAATATAACATTTATTACTTGTTGAAATAAAACATTTATTACTTGTTGAAATATAACAATAAAACATTTATTACTTGTTGAAATATAACATTTATTACTTGTTGAAATATAACATTTATTACTTGTTGAAATAAAACATTTATTACTTGTTGAAATATAACATTTATTACTTGTTAAAATAAAACATTTATTACTTGTTAAAATAAAACATTTATTACTTGTTGAAATATAACATTTATTACTTGTTGAAATAAAACATTTATTACTTGTTGAAATAAAACATTATTACTTGTTGAAATAAAACATTTATTTCTTGTTGAAATATAACATTTATTACTTGTTGAAATATAACATTTATTACTTGTTGAAATAAAACATTTATTACTTGTTGAAATAAAACATTTATTACTTGTTGAAATATAACATTTATTACTTGTTGAAATATAACATTTATTACTTGTTGAAATATAACATTTATTACTTGTTGAAATATAACATTTATTACTTGTTGAAATATAACATTTATTACTTGTTGAAATGAAACTTTTATTACTTGTTGAAATGAAACATTTATTACTTGTTGAAATAAAACATTTATTACTTGTTGAAATAAAACATTTATTACTTGTTGAAATATAACATTTATTACTTGTTGAAATAAACAGCTAATTTGGATGTAGTGTATGGTTACTGATGTTTTTATTATTTTACATTTTAACATGGAATCTTTCATAAACAAACTTACAAAATAATTAACCATTATTTTACATTTTAACATGGAATCTTTCATAAACAAACTTACAAAATAATTAACCATTATTTTACATTTTAACACGGAATCTTTCATAAACAAACTTACAAAATAATTAACCATTATTTTACAGTTTAAGAGGTACTCTTTCACAAATAACATTATTTTACAGTTAACAAGCAATCTTTCATAAACTTTACAAATAATTAAGCATTTGTTTACAATTTAACAAGTAATCTTTCAGAAGCTTTATAAACAATCACCTACTTAAAAATGTCACTTACCATCCTTAAACATTGCATATGCCAGCAGATGGGTACTACCATCGTAGTACTGGCCAACATATCGAATGTAAAAGCCATCACTTGACACAAACACGGAGCTGTTCTGTACTGGATCGTTGCGTTGGAATCGACCTTTCCACTCTCCCATTGATGTGATTCCACTGTAGATGTCGAATTTGTACTCCAGCATGTCATGCTGACCATCAGCTGAACAAACAATAAAAACAACAGCAGGCATGAGAGTTGTTAGTTCGTCCCACACACAAAATTTAAAATCGGCAAATCAGCCATGTGCACATGTGGATTAGCATCTGAGACTACAGATCATGTCCTCCAAGACTGTCCCAAATACAACATATCAAGGCAAAACTTTTGGCCAAGAGAATTTGTACTCCAGCATGTCATGCTGACCATCAGCTGAACAAACAATAAAAACAACAGCAGGCATGAGAGTTGTTAGTTCGTCCCGCACACAAAATTTAAAATCGGCGAATCAGCCATGTGCACATGTGGATTAGCATCTGAGACTACAGATCATGTCCTCCAAGACTGTCCTAAAAACAACATATCAAGGCAAAACTTTTGGCCAAGAGAAACATCGGTGCAAGTCAAACTTTACGGGTCACTGAGTGAATTATAAAAGACAGTGAAGTTCATACTAGAGACAACATTGCAGATATAATCTATTTCAAGTGAACTAAAGGAGAAGAAGAAGAAAAAGAAGTTTGTCCTGTTGTTTTACTTGTTTTTCTACTTCTTCTTTTCCATTTTCCCTTAAAAGAATAGTTGGCACATTGTGCTGTGTTGATAGACAGCTTTACTGCAATATCTGCGTCTTTCAACTCAATACATCAAAGTTCAGTAAACCCGTAATTAGTTGTCCTCTAGAATATACTCATCTTAGGGAGGTGTGGTTGGTCTCACAGCCCCCCCCCCCCCCCCCAGCCCACAGGGCCCCAAAAAAGCACATGTGGAGGTGGCTGCACAATCACTCTTTCTTACTAAATACTGAAAGTATCTCTCTCCCTAGCCGGCTCTCCAGCCCCATGTGCTTTCATTGCCAATACATCTTCAATGTCCTGTATCCATCTTCGTGGAGTTCGACCGCTGCTTCACTTTTCCACAAACAGCACCCTCCATCACCGTCTTTTCCAAGCCACCCGGATGTTTGATGTGGCTAAAATACTTCAAATTTCTGGACAGGACACTGTTTATGAGCCAGTTCTCCTCGATGTTCAACTCATGCAACTCAACTTTGAATATCTAGGCTCCATAATAAACAGAAATAAGGACTGTTTTACAGAAGACAAAAGGTTAAATGTTATTAAGCCATCAACTGGTAAGTTGGCCGCAGCAATACTAACATTAAACAGCATGAAAAGTCTATGGTTAAGCACCAACAAGGAAATCAAAGATACAATGTGGAGAGCATGCATCTTCCTGTTGCAACATACGGATGTGAGTCATGGATTACCTATCAGTCCTTAAGGAAGAAAATTGGGGCTTTTGAGCTGAAATGCTACAGATTCTAAGAATATAACGAAAAAAAAAAAAAGACATTCGACATTCTAAAAGATCTGAACATCAAGGAAGATTGGCTAATAAAAAGCATCTTGTCTCATAAGCTGAAATATTTTGGCCATATTAAGCGCCACAGTGGATTGGAAAAAAATTACAGCAGAATGCATGGTAGCATGGTACCAGGAAAGAATAGCAGGGGGTTGACCAACACCAAGATGGTGCAGGAGATAAGTGATTCCTTGGATATAAAAGTGCACAAGGCAGGAGAGCTGGCGAGAGACCGAGTTACTTTCAGGCAGCCCATCATGAAAGCGACGTTCTGAAAAGGACCTACAACATGATATACAGACAATCACATAAATTATTTACTTCTGATTTACTTCTACCCCTCTCACAATTCTTATTTCTCCACCACTTCTTTCACTGTATCCATTTATTTCTCCTGTTGATGCTGCTATGCCACAACTACCACAGCCACTTAACTTCACCTCTTCTGTTTTCTTCGGGGATCAACTTTAATATTCCCTGGCACAAAATTTACTTCAAGAACTGAATGCCTCTTTTTTCTTCCCTCATTTACTACTAAAGGTTTACAAACACATTTGGTAACCTAACCCAGTTGGTGGCTAAACAACCTGATACACGACAACCTGAGATCTAACAACCTGATAAATGACAAATTATATATATATAATCTGATGTATGAAATCAGGATAAATACAGCCTGATATTTGACAACCTGAGATATACACAATTTGACCTATGATATTTTGATACATTTATACATCTTGACATAAGAAAAATAATATGATAATTTAGCAAGCTGTTAAAAAAAAAAAAAAACTACATAACAGACACTTTCCTACGACTGGATAATCTATGTGTTCGATGTTGGTCTGCTAAATTCCAACACTTTCAGCACTTGACTGATTTATGCCATCAGTATCAAGCTGGCTGCCTATACTTCCCAGAATTTTTCTACTACCCATTTAAGAAAAATCTGGTGGACCAAGTAAGTTTTTGAGAAAAATCCCCAGCTTGAGGGGATTTGAAAACATGAATTCCACAACTACAGACAACCGTTAGCTACTGCACTATTGTGGCATACTGGACAAATAGGCGGCGGCTCTCCGTCTTTCCTGACAGTAGTGTTATGATGTGTTATCAGGAGGCATGGGAATCACCATCCATGGGAATGATCAGTGTGACTAGCATGACATGCCTGTATTAAGGAAATGACTTCCTAATATGAGCGATTTCAACACACTGTTGCCATCACGTATATCAAACATACTTCTCAGATGTTCAGCTCTTAACTTATGTGCAATCTTTTTTCCTATATCCCTATTCTGTTGTTGATTGTGTTTTTCCATACAACATGTTCATGTGAAGTTTCTCCTCTCCATACAATAGTCAGGTGAAGTTTCTCCTTTCCATACAATAGTCAGGTGAAGTTTCTCCTCTCCATACAATATGGTCAGGTGAAGTTTCTCCTCAGTTCAGACCTATGTGACTATCCACACGATGACCACCCAAAAATTACACACACGCATGCATATATATATATATATATAGATAAAAGAAAGAAAGATAACATTGGCAGGGTCGAAGAGTTCCTGATGGAACTGATGCAGTAGAGAACATATATATTTTTCACATGTTTAGTCACATTTAACAGTCCTGTATAACGTTTAACAATAAACAAATATCTAACTTTTAGCAATAAACAAATATCTAACTTTTAACAATAAACAAATATGGTATCCACCAATTTCCTCCCACTAATGAATGGGAGTTACTGTGGTATAGCAGCTAGATACAGCCTACAGATCAAAAGATTGTGAGTTCGGGTCCTGACATGATGGAGCTGGACTTTTTTTCAACAATAACCTTGACTCCCAGGTCAACCCAGCCTTGAATGAGTACCAAATGCAGTCATAGGAAGTTAAGGCGGCCAGCACGATGCCTACCATGTCACCCACCAAGTGCCACCTGGTCTATAGAGGTCTAGCCCTATATGCCCAATATGCTTCAAGGAAAAGGGTTCCTTTTTTTAATGAATGAATGAATGAAAAACTAATATCACTCAGGACACTCCTATAGGTATCACGTCCCCTTCCCCAGCAGACAGGCAATGAAGAGTTCCCATGCTGATAGTGCCAGCTGCATCCTGATTAGAAGTCTGCCAGTATTTTCCTCTACGCACTGAACACTTTTACCAACTGTTTTAAACCATTGAAACACACTGAACACTTTTACCAACTGTTTTAAACCATTCAAATGCACTGAACACTTTTACCAACTGTTTTAAACCATTCAAACACACTGAACACTTTTACCAACTGTTTTAAACCATTCAAACACACTGAACACTTTTAGCAACTGTTTTAAACCATTCAAACGCACTGAACACTTTTACCAACTGTTTTAAACCATTCAAATGCACTGAACACTTTTACCAATTGTTTTAAACCATTCAAACGCACTGAACACTTTTACCAACTGTTTTAAACCATTCAAACACACTGAACACTTTTACTAACTGTTTTAAACCATTCAAACACACTGAACACTTTTAACAACTGTTTTAAACCATTCAAACACACTGAACACTTTTACCAACTGTTTTAAACCATTCAAACACACTGAACACTTTTAACAACTGTTTTAAACCATTCAAACACACTGAACACTTTTAACAACTGTTTTAAACCATTCAAACGCACTGAACCCTTTTACCAACTGTTTTAAACCATTCAAACGCACTGAACACTTTTACTAACTGTTTTAAACCATTCAAACACACTGAACACTTTTAACAACTGTTTTAAACCATTCAAACACACTGAACACTTTTAACAACTGTTTTAAACCATTCAAACACAATGCTTATTCATACATCTGAATATTTTATTTAAGACCTTCACAAGGAGGTTCAATTGGCATGAACAAGCAAGCATAAGAATAAGTAGGAGGAGGAGGAGGAGGAGAAGAAGAAAAACAGGAAGAAGAAAAATCAGCTAAATGAAATATATGATAACAATGTGTTATGAACTACAAAGTTCACCATCAAATTATGAAGCAATCCAGAAAAGAAAAAAGAAAACGGATTCATTTCAAACTTACACTGAGTCTTTAATACCCGAAGGTAGACGCCATCGAATCTAGAAATCTTGCGTATGACAAAAATACAGTCCTTTAACTGACCATCAGGAATGGTCAAGCGAATGATTCCACCTTCTGAAGAGATGTCCTGGTCACAAGCTGTTAGATATAACAGATCAATTTATGTAATGTCCACTATAAAGTTATTATTGTAAAGTTGATGTCCGCTGTAAAGTTATTATTGTAAAAATGTCTTTGTTATTTTAAATTAATGTACAACTGTAAAGTTATTATTGTAAAGTTGATGTCCACTATAAAGTTATTATTGTAAAATGTTCACTATAAAGTTATTATATGTAAAGTTGATGTCCACTATAAAGTTATTATTGTAAAGTTGATGTTCACTATAAAGTTATTATTGTAAAGTTGATGTCCACTATAAAGTTATTATTGTAAAGTTGATGTCCACTATAAAGTTATTATTGTAAAGTTGATGTCCACTATAAAGTTATTATTGTAAAGTTGATGTCCACTATAAAGTTATTATTGTAAAGTTGATGTCCACTATAAAGTTATTATTGTAAAGTTGATGTCCACTATAAAGTTATTATTGTAAAGTTGATGTCCACTATAAAGTTATTATTGTAAAGTTGATGTCCACTATAAAGTTATTATTGTAAAGTTAATGCCCACTGTAAAGTTATTATTGTAAGGTTAATGTCCACTGTAAAGTTATTATTGTAAAGTTGATGTCCACTATAAAGTTATTATTGTAAAGTTGATGTTCACTATAAAGTTATTATTGTAAAGTTGATGTCCACTATAAAGTTATTATTGTAAAGTTGATGTCCACTGTAAAGTTATTATTGTAAAGTTGATGTCCACTATAAAGTTATTATTGTAAAGTTGATGTCCACTATAAAGTTATTATTGTAAAGTTGATGTCCACTATAAAGTTATTATTGTAAAGTTGATGTCCACTGTAAAGTTATTATTGTAAAGTTAATGTCCACTATAAAGTTATTATTGTAAAGTGGTAAAGGATCATGTAATAATTCATTGTTATTGTAAATTGGGTACAAGAACTCTTGATATAACAAACCAAACATTTCATATATGAATGTGAATCTGAATATTTAGTAAACTATTAAGATGTTCTTCCAGCTCGATCCAGTCTTAAATGAGTACCAGGTAAAGTCCTGGGAAGTAAAAGCAGCTGGTATGATGATGACCACATCACAAATCAAGGGCTGATTGGTCTATTAAAAAAATGAGTGGTCTCATATGCCCTATGTGGCACTGGTGTGGAAAGGCACCCTTATTTGACTTACTTGTCAAGATGTTACATACGCACAATTTTAATCTATAAATGTGACTCCTGAACAGTTAAGAAACTATCAACAATACCATGTGACGCAACAGAAATGTAGTTTTACAGTACATTTTTTAGAAACTGCGGGCAGCCATATTGAACAGTCTGAGCGTTTTTAAAACAGTGCATGACACAATATTTTTTAAACATCAAAAGGAAGTTATCAACATTTCTGTAGGCACCTTGCAAGAGAAGAAATGCTAAAACAGATAACTTACTAAAGCAGCTCTAAATTCCAAGCACAAAGAAATCATCATCATTATGTGCCATGTTGCTGAGCAGGGGCGGGCAGTCAAGACCAAAGTCTACAGTCGAAGTGTGGAGTGTCACCAGCAGTCAAACCAAGCCTATCAACACAGAAGTGATGGTCAGTCAGTCATAGAGCAGGTCCTTCGCAAAAAAGCTGATCTCATCGCAGTCTTCCTGAAAGAAAATGGGTCTCTCGCCAGCTGTCCTGCCTCGTGCACTTTCCTACCCAAGGTGTCACTTATATCCCGTGCTGTTCAGCCCCTGCCACTCTTTCATGGTTCCATGCATTTTTCTGTTATTCTCTCCATTCCACCATGCTGCTTGATATGGCCAAAATATTTCAGTTTCTGAGACAAGATGCTGTTTATCAGCCAATCTTCTCTGATGTTCACATCTTTAAGGATGGCTTCCATAAGTGATGCAAGGATAAATACAAATATCAATGATGGAACTTACCAGTTGATGGCTTGATAACATTTACAGAACCTGAAAGACAAATACAAAATATTAAACAATTTTAGACACCATCTTGTGGCTTTCTGACAGTGGTATAAGAGTCATACTGTGGAAGGGATTAAAGCCTCACCCAACCCTCTTCCTAAAGACAACAGTGGATTCAAAACAGCAAACCCCTGTTGTGGAGACAAATTTACATTAAAATGATTAATCAACATCATTATCAAGTGACTCGTCAGCTGGAGTGGACAATCTGGCAGCTTCAAATCTCACTATGTCCACTAATGATTCAACGTGCCCTAGCACTCTTAACCCACCAGCCAGGATCTCCTACATGACAAAACTAATATATGGTATTTCAAAATGGTGACAAAACTAACAAATGGTATTTCAAAATGGTGATAAAACTAACATAAGGTATTTCAACATGGTGATAAAACTAACATATGGTATTTCAAAAGGTGATAAAACTAACATTTGGTATTCCAAAATGGTGACAAAACTAACACACATTATTCCAAAATGGTGACAAAACTAACACACATTTGGTATTTCAAAATGGTGACAAAACTAGGCTTATGGTGATAAAGGTAACATACACTTTTCTAATGCCAAAATTAACAGGCGTTATTTATTAAATGGTGCCAAAATCAATACGTTAATAACAATTTCACAGTAGCTCTAATCTAAACAATACATAAATATATAAACCCTGTCACCCTGAGAAAGCCGTTTTCTGACATTTGTGGGATTTTGATAACATAGAAATCTTTGGACAGTGGCCACCATGCCTATATTACAGATTTGGGAATGGCTGCAACTGCACAATGTGTAGACATGGTGAGTAAAACAATGTGTAGATATGGTGGGTAAAACAATGTGTAGACATGGTGAGTAAAACAATGTGTAGACATGGTGAGTAAAACAATGTGTAGATATGGTGGGTAAAACAATGTGTAGACATGGTGAGTAAAACAATGTGTAGACATGGTGAGTAAAACAATGTGTAGACATGGTGAGTAAAACAATGTGTAGATATGGTGGGTAAAACAATGTGTAGACATGGTGGGTAAAACAATGTGTAGACATGGTGGGTAAAACAATGTGTAGACATGGTGGGTAAAACAATGTGTAGATATGTGGGTAAAACAATGTGTAGACATGGGTAAAACAATGTGTAGACATTGGTGGGTAAAACAATGTGTAGACATGGTGGGTAAAACAATGTGTAGACATGGTGGGTAAAACAATGTGTAGATATGGTGGGTAAAACAATGTGTAGACATTGGTGGGTAAAACAATGTGTAGACATGGTGGGTAAAACAATGTGTAGACATGGTGGGTAAAACAATGTGTAGACATTGGTGGGTAAAACATGTGTGTGTAGATATGGTGGGTAAAACAATGTGTGTAGTAAAACAATGTGTAGACATGGTGGGTAAAACAATGTGTAGACATGGTGGGTAAAACAATGTGTAGATATGGTGGGTAAAACAATGTGTAGACATGGTGGGTAAAACAATGTGTAGATATGGTGGGTAAAACAATGTGTAGACATGGTGGGTAAAACAATGTGTAGACATGGTGGTAAAACAATGTGTAGACATGGTGGGTAAAACAATGTGTAGACATGGTGGGTAAAACAATGTGTAGATATGGTGGGTAAAACAATGTGTAGACATGGTGGGTAAAACAATGTGTAGATATGGTGGGTAAAACAATGTGTAGATATGGTGGGTAAAACAATGTGTAGACATGGTGGGTAAAACAATGTGTAGATATGGTGGGTAAAACAATGTGTAGACATGGTGGGTAAAACAATGTGTAGATATGGTGGGTAAAACAATGTGTAGATATGGTGGGTAAAACAATGTGTAGATATGGTGGGTAAAACAATGGTGGGTAAAACAATGTGTAGATATGGTGGGTAAAACAATGTGTAGATATGGTGGGTAAAACAATGTGTAGATATGGTGGGTAAAACAATGTGTAGATATGGTGGGTAAAACAATGTGTAGATATGGTGGGTAAAACAATGTGTAGATATGGTGGGTAAAACAATGTGTAGATATGGTGGGTAAAACAATGTGTAGATATGGTGGGTAAAACAATGTGTAGATATGGTGGGTAAAACAATGTGTAGATATGGTGGGTAAAACAATGTGTAGATATGGTGGGTAAAACAATGTGTAGATATGGTGGGTAAAACAATGTGTAGACATTGGTGGGTAAAACAATGTGTATGGTGGGTAAAACAATGTGTAGATATGGTGGGTAAAACAATGTGTAGACATGGTGGGTAAAACAATGTGTAGACATGGTGGGTAAAACAATGTGTAGATATGGTGGGTAAAACAATGTGTAGACATTGGTGGGTAAAACAATGTGTAGACATGGTGGGTAAAACAATGTGTAGATATGGTGGGTAAAACAATGTGTAGACATGGTGGGTAAAACAATGTGTAGACATGGTGGGTAAAACAATGTGTAGACATGGTGGGTAAAACAATGTGTAGACATGGTGGGTAAAACAATGTGTAGACATGGTGGGTAAAACAATGTGTAGATATGGTGGGTAAAACAATGTGTAGACATGGTGGGTAAAACAATGTGTAGACATGGTGGGTAAAACAATGTGTAGATATGGTGGGTAAAACAATGTGTAGACATGGTGGGTAAAACAATGTGTAGACATGGTGGGTAAAACAATGTGTAGACATGGTGGGTAAAACAATGTGTAGACATGGTGGGTAAAACAATGTGTAGACATGGTGGGTAAAACAATGTGTAGACATGGTGGGTAAAACAATGTGTAGATATGGTGGGTAAAACAATGTGTAGACATGGTGGGTAAAACAATGTGTAGACATGGTGGGTAAAACAATGTGTAGACATGGTGGGTAAAACAATGTGTAGATATGGTGGGTAAAACAATGTGTAGATATGGTGGGTAAAACAATGTGTAGATATGGTGGGTAAAACAATGTGTAGATATGGTGGGTAAAACAATGTGTAGACATGGTGGGTAAAACAATGTGTAGACATGGTGGGTAAAACAATGTGTAGACATGGTGGGTAAAACAATGTGTAGACATGGTGGGTAAAACAATGTGTAGACATGGTGGGGTAAAACAATGTGTAGACATGGTGGGTAAAACAATGTGTAGACATGGTGGGTAAAACAATGTGTAGACATGGTGGGTAAAACAATGTGTAGACATGGTGGGTAAAACAATGTGTAGACATGGTGGGTAAAACAATGTGTAGATATGGTGGGTAAAACAATGTGTAGACATGGTGGGTAAAACAATGTGTAGACATGGTGGGTAAAACAATGTGTAGACATGGTGGGTAAAACAAGGTGTAGACATGGTGGGTAAAACAATGTGTAGTAAAACAATGTGGTGGGTAAAACAATGTGTAGACATGGTGGGTAAAACAATGTGTAGATATGGTAGGTAAAACAATGTGTAGACATGGTGGGTAAAACAATGTGTAGACATTGGTGGGTAAAACAATGTGTAGACATTGGTGGGTAAAACAATGTATAGACATTGGTGGGTAAAACAATGTATAGACATTGGTGGGTAAAACAATGTATAGATATTGGTGGGTAAAACAATGTATAGACATTGGTGGGTAAAACAATGTATAGACATTGGTGGGTAAAACAATGTGTAGACATTGGTGGGTAAAACAATGTATAGACATTGGTGGGTAAAACAATGTGTAGATATGGTGGGTAAAACAATGTGTAGACATATGGTGGGTAAAACAATGTGTAGATTGGTGGGTAAAACAATGGTAGGGTGGTAAAAAACAATGTATAGACATGGTGGGTAAAACAATGTGTAGATATGGTGGGTAAAACAATGTGTAGACATTGGTGGGTAAAACAATGTGTAGACATTGGTGGGTAAAACAATGTGTAGACATGGTGGGTAAAACAATGTGTAGACATGGTGGGTAAAACAATGTGTAGATATGGTGGGTAAAACAATGTGTAGACATGGTGGGTAAAACAATGTGTAGACATGGTGGGTAAAACAATGTGTAGACATGGTGGGTAAAACAATGTGTAGACATGGTGGGTAAAACAATGTGTAGACAAGGTGGGTAAAACAATGTGTAGACATGGTGGGTAAAACAAAGAATGGTGGGTAAAAAACAATGTGTAGACATGGTGGGTAAAACAATGTGTAGACATGGTGGGTAAAACAATGTGTAGACATGGTGGGTAAAACAATGTGTAGACATGGTGGGTAAAACAATGTGTAGACATGGTGGGTAAAACAATGTTTAGACATGGTGGGTAAAACAATGTGTAGACATGGTGGGTAAAACAATGTGTAGACATGGTGGGTAAAAACAAAGACAATGGTAAAACAATGTGTAGATATGGTGGGTAAAACAATGTGTAGACATGGTGGGTAAAACAATGTTTAGACATGGTGGGTAAAACAATGTTTAGACATGGTGGGTAAAACAATGTGTAGATATGGTGGGTAAAACAATGTGTAGATATGGTGGGTAAAACAATGTGTAGACATGGTGGGTAAAACAATGTTTAGACATGGTGGGTAAAACAATGTGTAGACATGGTGGGTGGGTAAAACAATGTGTAGACAATGTGGTGGGTAAAACAATGTGTAGATATGGTGGGTAAAACAATGTGTAGACATGGTGGGTAAAACAATGTGTAGACATGGTGGGTAAAACAATGTGTAGACATGGTGGGTAAAACAAGGTGTAGACATGGTGGGTAAACAATGTGTAGACATGGTGGGTAAAACAATGTTTAGACATGTGGTGGGTAAAACAATGTGTAGACATGGTGGGTAAAACAATGTGTAGACATGGTGGGTAAAACAATGTGTAGACATGGTGGGTAAACAATGTGTAGACATGGTGGGTAAAACAATGTTTAGACATGGTGGATAAAACAATGTTTAGACATGGTGGGTGAAACATGGTGTAGACATGGTGGGTAAAACAATGTGTAGACAAGGTGAGTAAAACAATGTGTAGACATGGTGAGTAAAACAATATTTTCCTGTAATGAATTCAAATAATGCACACATAAACACATTCACTGTCAGGTAATTTGAGGTTGTCCTGGTAAGTCAAGTAACTATTGCGAACTTCTGGCGACAATGAAACTCAAGAGACCCTTTTTGTATTTCAGTCAGTTTATTTATATTTGTTTGCTTGGTTATAAGTTAATGTAAGACACCTGAACAGGTGCAGTAAAATATGCCTGGCAATAACGTTAAAAAAATATATGATAAAATCACATTTTAAAACACTGTGATGTCATTATTACATCATAATAATCTGATATGATGATACTTTACTCCTTATGGCTATGTTAACAAAACTACAATTATCATAGTCAAAGGGAGAGATAGCAATTGTGTTTTGTTTATCCATTTCTATTTAGTGGTATACACAAATGCTTATACAAACTGCCCAAGACTCCAGATTTCCTCTTTTTCTTCTCTTCTTCTAGTATCTTAGGGCAAAAGCTCAAAGAATTATAGGGAGGCATTTCTTTTTAACAAAACTGTCAAAAAGTTAATTTTTAAAAGATATTTTTGGGGCAAACTAAAAAACTCAACATATATTTATTCGTAACTCAATATATAATATTTATTTTTATGAAATCTATGTGTCCCAATTTCGTCTTGCATCAACCTACTCCATTCTAACTATTCTTTGAACTGTTTCTACCCAATAAAAATAATAATTGAAACCATTTAGACACACTATTCATAAATTTAAAGAAACAATCACTTGAGTAGAATTGGTTAGAGTGACAACTATCTGAGACTGAATAGTTAAAATATTTCTGCAATTTGAAGAACAATAATTAGATCTTAACGAAGTGAAGAAAAGTTTTTAACAGCTAATCACATCATCAGTTATCACACAAAAAGATGCTCTGACACATCTTTAGAAGAAGTGGACAAACAATCACAAAACAGGCAGTGCAATGAGGGAAAAAAAAAGGACAGAGGAAACAAAGACAATAAAATGTCTTTGGAAGACGGAAGACTAGAACAAAACGGAAGACTAGACTATGAGCCATATGTGACTATAATGGCATAACAGGATCATAATAAACAGAACCTTACCGGAAATGAAAGCAACTTTTGCTTTGAATCCAAGAAAACTTGATTGGCCACTGATGGGCTCTCCTGTGTAGAAGCTTACAGTCAGGTTTGGGCCTGTAGACTTAATTAATGGTCTATCCTGGCTCCCCATAACCATAGTTTCACCTATGGCACTATAAAACTGCAATTTAAAAAAAAAGGATCAAATAAATTAGGAAAGAAAATAAAATGTAAAATTCTGCAAATCTTTAAGTGACCATGAAATTAGGTTATAAATGTGTAAACTTATTAAAAAAAAAAAAGGAAAATTAAACAAATTAGGTAAGAAATAAAGATAGATTGCAAGATAGAAAGAAAGAAAGTATGGAGAAAATTAATAAAGAGATAAATTTAAAAATTAAGCAAACAAGAATGCAATAATAAAGAGCATCTCTCTGTCTCATTCTCCCACACACATACACGCACACAGAAACTAAGAAACAAGAAAAAGTTCATCAATTTAAAAAAACAAAACTAACATTATCTTAGAATCAACAAGGAACACAAAAACGAAACAAATAAAAATCAACGGTCGGCGTATGTGGCTTAGGCGTTGCAAATGCGCTTCACAATGCCAGAGTGCCAGGTTCGATCCCAGCTGGGAGCCTTAGGTCTTGCGTTGGTTTTGACAGTGGTATCGAGAAGCTGACCGTCCAGAAAGCAATGGCAAACTGTTGGATGTAAATTTGTCTAGAAAAACCACAACAGCCCAAAAAATACTGGAGTTGGTTCTGGAACGCCCTGTAAAGGATATACAACTAACTTTAACTAAACAGATCAAGGAAGAAGAAAACAGATGAAGGCAGAAGGTAGAAAAAGATAATAAAACAGTGTCTTCTTCTGTGTATACACACTTTTTTCTTATTCTGTTACAGAAGAATAATAAAACAAAGTGTTAACCACGTAGAAGAAGACTGTTTTCAACTAAACAAGTGTGTTTTCAACTAAACAAGTGTGTTTTCAACTAAACAAGTGTGTTTTCAACTAAACAAGTGTGTTTTCAACTAAACAAGTGTGTTTTCAACTAAACAAGTGTGTTTTCAACTAAACAAGTGTGTTTTCAACTAAACAAGTGTGTTTTCAACTAAACAAGTGTGTTTTCAACTAAACAAGTGTGTTTTCAACTAAACAAGTGTGTTTTCAACTAAACAAGTGTGTTTTCAACTAGTGTGTTTTCAACTAAACAAGTGTGTTTTCAACTAAACAAGTGTGTTTTCAACTAAACAAGTGTGTTTTCAACTAAACAAGTGTGTTTTCAACTAAACAAGTGTGTTTTTCAGACTAAACAAGTGTGTTTTCAACTAAACAAGTGTGTTTTCAACTAAACAAGTGTGTTTTCAACTAAACAAGTGTGTTTCAACTCCATGGAGCATCTAAACAAGTGTGTTTTCAACTAAACAAGTGTGTTTTCAACTAAACAAGTGTGTTTTCAACTAAACAAGTGTGTTTTCAACTAAACAAGTGTGTTTTCAACTAGTGTGTTTTCAACTAAACAAGTGTGTTTTCAACTAAACAAGTGTGTTTTCAACTAAACAAGTGTGTTTTCAACTAAACAAGTGTGTTTTCAACTAAACAAGTGTGTTTTCAACTAAACAAGTGTGTTTTCAACTAACCGTAAGATATGAGGTGGGAGTGAGCATCCAATCATCAAATGAAACCACCGCAATCATATTCGGCTCCCGGGACTCCAGTCTGTAGGTATACTCTTCCCTGTTCTTGGCAAAGGGGCTGGGGAAAAATGGGCTGGAAAAGCCAAACTGCTGTGGGTATGGTGATGCTCTAGAGTATGTTATCCTTGTCAGTTTTTCTGAGATAGAAGTACAACAGACAACAGCATATTCACATATGTTATTTAATCATCTCTATCAGTAATCAGACTGATGTATGTAATCTTGTAATCTTCTTCTGCCTTTCTATCCCCCAATGGAGCATAGGCCCTCAACCAACTCACGCCGTTCTATCCTTCACCATTGCATGGAGCTCTCCCCATGTCCTTACTTCATTCTCCAGCTCTCTACTCCATGTGTTTTTTGGCCTTCCTTTATTGCTATGCCCCTGTGGGTTCCAATGCAAAGACATTTTAGTTTGCTGTTCTCCTGTTTTCAATTCTAGAGGTTTTCCTAGCTGAGAGGAGGTACGTCAACGATCCGGACTCCTTACGGCTTTCTCCACACAGTGTCATACTTCTTCTATTTGAAGAGCCTCCCCTCATCTTGGTTGGCTGAATTTTACTTGCTTCTCTTTTTGACTTATCCATGGTTGGTTGGTTTTTGTGGCTATCGTTTTTACAGGATGAGGTAGCCAACCTTAAGCCCAACCCTACCCTTAGTCGCCTCTTACGACATGCCTGATGTGTGTAATACTGCCTCCAAAACTATAACTGAAATGTACATGAGCAGCATAGACATATGTTTTGTTTACTTTCCTTAGTTATTCTTAGTACTATAGGTTACGGTCTTTGATCTCTGGCCAGTGATTTGTTTTACTGGGAACACATATATCATTTATTGTACTGGCTGGAGAGCAATGTGATTTCTATCAGAAATGCTGGCTAGGTGATTTGATGCACCCATGTTCGTGTTAATGCATATTTATGTTATGTGCTGATGAAGGCTCTCTGGCTGAAATGTTCATTTGACATAATGTGAAGCTGAACTGTTCTATTTTTCATTTGCTTAATATCTCAGAGCTATGAATAGCAATTCTAGTGACGACTGTAGCTGTTGGTACCTCTGGTGTTATGCATTTGATGTGTGTGTAAGTTCACATCTCATAGTGATGCACCTATTGTGTACGTGTGTGTTTTCTTTCTCACTGGGACAAGAATAGCGCCATTACCATGTGAACATTTTGCAATTAAGTTCAAACCCCCCTCCACCACTGAAAGCCTAATAGCTTAGTTATTCTTCTTCAGCCTTCTAAGTTCTTGATGTTCATTGCCGCAGATATCACCAGCCTAAATTGATCATGTGACTGGCTCTTTCCAGAAGGTGGGGGAGGAAAGAAAACCACAATGCAAACCTTGAACAGTCAGTTTAAGCCTCATTTTGATGGTTTGGTTGTAATTCATGCCACATGCAATGATGTGCAACTGTTTGGATTCAGATCTGTAGGAAACTGGACTGGAGGAAAATACCTTTGTGGTTTGACTCTTGTAGTCAGCATCAAAGAGGTAAAAATAGGCACAGCTGGAGAAGAAAAAAAAGAGATTTTACAAGCAATTTATCACTACACCAAAGCACTAGGCTAGAGAATTCAAACATTCATTCATCTCATCATTTAGTTAGAATATTTTATCATTTCATCATGGAGTTCTAAAATCCAGCCAACTTAAAGCAATACAAAATCTAACCATCTCATAGCTATACAACATTCAACCACCTCACAGCAATACGACATTCAACCACCTCACAGCAATACAACATTCAACCACCTCACAGCAATACAGCATTCAACCACCTCACAGCAATACAACATTCAACCACCTCACAGCAATACAACATTCAACCACCTCACAGCAATACAGCATTCAACCACCTCACAGCAATACAACATTCAACCACCTCACAGCAATACAACATTCAACCACCTCACAGCAATACAACATTCAACCACCTCACAGCAATACAACATAAACCACACATTCAACCCCCACAGCAATACAAATCCAACAACATTCAACCACCTCACAGCAATACAACATTCAACCACCTCACAGCAATACAACATTCAACCACCTCACAGCAATACAACATTCAACCACCTCACTGCAATACAACATCCAACCAGTAAACAGCAATACAAAATATAACCAAATAAATAGCAAACAAAATAAAACATCCGAACATCTCATAGCAGTTAGACATTCAACCACCTCATACCAATACAACATCAAACTAATAAATAGCAACACAAAATATAACCAACAAATAGCAATACAACATTCATCCAACAAACAGCAACAGAACATCCTGCCACCTAGCTCATAGCAACAGAACATCCAGCCAACAAATTGCAATACAAAAGCCAAATGACACCATTACAACAGCCATGTCAAAGCAATACAAAATCCAACCAGCTCATAGCAACACAACATCCAACCAGCTCATAGCAACACAACATCCAACCAGCTCATAGCAACACAACATCCAGTGACCTTATAGCAATACACCAGCTGATCATTTCGTCATACAATTTGAACATACAATTATCCTGTTATGCATTTAGGAAACAGTCTAGGTGGGTTTTTTTTTTAAATTTTATGTGTATGTAAATAAATGTATGTGTGTATGGCATGTCAATAGTATTTTCCAACCAGTTTTTGCAACACAACATCCAACCAGCTCATAGCAACACAACATCCAACCAGCTCATAGCAACACAACATCCAACCAGCTCATAGCAACACAACATCCAACCAGCTCATAGCAACACAACATCCAACCAGCTCATAGCAACACAACATCCAACCAGCTCAAATTGCAAACAACATGTCATGTGTGCAACACAACATCCAACCAGCGCACAACACAACCAGCTGTGTAGAACATCGAGTCACTTACTCTGGAATGCAGACATCACTCGTATCACCATCTGGAGGGATACTCTTCGGGCAGGCAGGATAATCAAAAGAACCAGCATGCTCAACTGCAATGCGGCAATCGTCACATGTTTTGATGTACAAAAGGCAGTTGATGTTAGCCCGCTGACTTCCTATACTCCTTGTGTCAAGGAAAACTTCGGTGGAGCTCTCTATAGTTGGGAGGTAAATACTGTTTGGGTTGGTAACATTTGTCAGTGGGCGACAGATATCATATTCTGCAATGCAAACAAAACATGTGTTTGGAGGTGATCAAAGAAAAAATGTTGATGATACTGTTATAAACTGCTAACAACTTCTTGCAGTAGTCATAATTTCAACAATGATATCCTGTTCAACCTATCTGGGTTATCACTGATATATGTATAAGAGGTATGTGTGTGTGTGTATATATGTATAGGTATGTGTGTGTGTGTGTGTGTGTGTGTGTGTGTGTGTGTATACATATTCTTCAATTGTTTCCCTTTTTTTTCTCTATCTGCTAACCTGAAAAAAAATTGTCTATATCTGTCATTCTAACTCTTGCATAAATTTCACTGTCATTATTAGTTCATTCAGTGGGCTGTACTATACCATAAACAGTTTATAGCAAAAGAGGAAAGGGCTATAGAGCAACAAGTAAACAAACAACAAGATGGGAAGATAACATCAGAGAAACTCTACAGTACCACGATGTGTCTGTGGTCGAAGCAGCCAGAAGAGCACGAAGCAGGACCTTGTATCTCCCTCGACACCCGAAGCGGCAAAAGAGGATGTGAAGAAGAAGAAGAAGAAGTGCTCCACAGAGTTTAAGTTGTTCCTTTCTGGCCAAAAGGTTTTTTGTAAGAAATAAAATTAATGGCCTTTCTGGCCAAAAAGTTTTTTTTAAGGAATAAAATTAATGGCCTTTCTGGCCAAAAGGTTTTTTGTAACCTGAAAAAAAAAAGTTGTTATATCTGCCATTCTTCTTGGCCAAAAAGTTTTTTGTAAGGAATAAAATTAATGGAATTTCTGGCCAAAAGGTTTTTTTTAAGGAATAAAATTAATGGCCTTTCTGGCAAAAAGGTTTTTTGTAAGGAATAAAATTAATGGTCTTTCTGGCCAAAAAGTTTTTTGTAAGGAATAAAATTAATGGAATTTCTGGCCAAAAGGTTTTTTGTAAGGAATAAAATTAATGGCCTTTCTGGCCAAAAGGTTTGTCGCAAGAGTCAAATATATGGCAGTCTTGTAGTATGCATTCTGCTGTCTGGGGTCACACTCCACCTGAACATATCGCTGATACATTAATCTTCAATTCTGTATATATGTGGTTGTATAAACAGTTGTGCCCGATTCTGTATATATGTGGTTGTATAAACAGTTGTGCCCAATTCTGTATATATGTGGTTGTATAAACAGTTGTGCCCAGTTCTGTATATATGTGGTTGTAAAAACAGTTGTGCCCAGTTCTGTATATATGTGGTTGTATAAACAGTTGTGCCCAATTCTGTATATATGTGGTTGTATAAAACAGTTGTGCCCAATTCTGTATATATGTTTTTGTATAAAACAGTTGTGCCCAATTCTGTATATATGTGGTTGTATAAACAGTTGTGCCCAGCCATGTATACATGTGGTTGTATAAACAGTTATGCCCAATTCTGTATATATGTGGTTGTATAAATAGTTGTGCCCAGTTCTGTATATATGTGGTTGTATAAACAGTTGTGCCCAGTTCTGTATATATGTGGTTGTATAAACAGTTGTGCCCAGTTCTGTATATATGTGGTTGTATAAACAGTTGTGCCCAGTCCTGTATATATGTGGTTGTATAAACAGTTGTGCCCAGTCCTGTATATATGTGGTTGTATAAACAGTTGTGCCCAGTTTTGTGTATATGTGTTTGTATAAACAGTTGTGCCCAGTTCTGATGCGGTAAAGAACTTTTTCTTATCATTTGTTTACCCTGGCCACAATACCTCAGCTTTCAAAACAGCATGCTGTTTATGAGCCTGTTTTCTTTGATACTTAGATCATGTAGGATGTTGGTGTGTTTCTTTTTCTTGGTCCATGGTATTCTACTGATTTTTCTATAGCATTTGAGTTCAAAAGTTCTGATTTTTGTCTTAAACATTCTATTAATCATTTTTATAACAAGGAGCAGCTGGCTGAGAAGTTGAGAATTCAATTCCGGTTTTTATCTGTCATATTCGGGTACGAATCCTCTGTAAGATCTAGATTTGTATCTGTTGGGGGCAAAGATAAAGTCTTCACCTGCACAGTCTATGGAGCCTGCACTAACCAAGCTGCTCCAGGTACTCAGGATAAAAACCCTACTGTCCTACACTGTCATAAAATGTGATAAATACAGACAGTAACAAGAGGCAGCCTTTATAACGAGGTCAGGTCATCGCCAAGGTCTTGCTGGTTGGAGAAAACATCCTGCGTCTGCTGGGATTCAACACAGAGAGGCTAGCACCTAACCACTGAGGCCCTAACCCTAATCATCATCATCACATGGCATGTTGATGGATGTGTTGTGAAACTGTAGACTCATAAAATGGCAAGTGGTCTGTTGCTAGAGAACATGTGGTGCCTTATGCGATTAATTACAAATGCAGCTACTGATCAATTGTAGCTGCTGCTTCCAGTAATGATAAACTGCATTTCTAGTGTCACACTGTTTGTGTTGGCACTTCTGGCTGTTGCCTTATGCATTTAATGCATATGTGTGCTATTGGATCTGTTAAGACTGCAATCCACCAATTTTTTTAGTAAGGGACAATTAGGGACATTCTGTGTGATTTTCCCCGGCACATGAACGGAACAAGTCTGCCCATTTGCTGTCAAGTCGGAACTGCGATTATCTAATACCATACTGATAAGCATGGACACAATCAGGATGGACAGAAAAGTGGACAGACTGACATTCTAGAGTAGATATACATTACAAACAACCAGATACACAGATAGGGATGGGGCACACAGGGAAACAAACTGATGGATATACAGAAAGACACATGCAAGGACATATAATCATCATCATCATCATAAACCACTTCTATCGTTAAGCGTTGTGGGGAGGAATAATTTGTGATCCAGTGCACGTTGGCTGCCACTGGCTATTGTCATGCCGTGAAGGCATAGAGTGTCTTTAACGTTGTCGATCCATGTTTTCCGCAGCCGTTCTCTTGCTCTTGTAGTTGATCTTCTGAGATGCAGTGCTTGGGATGGTATTTGATCTTGCTGCATTCTAACGAGTTGGCCAAACCACTTGATCTGCTGTTTCTCGATGAATCTAGTACAAGGTGTCGTTCCCAGAATTTGCCTGATTGTTTCATTATTCACCCGAAAGACATATAAAATATAAACTAATTTACGGACGAACAGACAGACATAAGGAATGATGAATAAACAAACTGATACAAAGACTGTTGCATCTAAAGACAGAAAAAAGAACAAGTAAAGGACCCTTTTCCCCCAGAGGGCATATAGGGCTGGACCTAAATATTTAAAGACCAATCTGCACTTGGTGGTGGGTGATGTGGTCAGAATCATGCCGGTTGCCTTTACTTTCCATGAATTTACCTGATACCCATTTAAGGAGGGTCAATCTGGGAGCCAAGATAATTTTTTTTATTCAATTCGGCAACATGAGGACCTGAATACATGACCTTTCAATCCGCAGGTGAGCATCCAGTCGCTATACCACAGCGGCTCCCGGAAGGACATAATGTATGAACAAATTTATGGATGAACATATTGATATGAGGAAAGATGAATCAACAAACAGACAAAAACTGTTGAATCTAATGATAGAAAAACAGATAGATAAATATAGAAATAGTACATGCCAATTAGACTGAATTAGTTATTGTATTAATTACCTCGCTCTACAATGTATCCATTATAGGAATTAACACCTGTACTGGCTGAGAAAGAAAAAAAAATGGATTCAATTATCTGGAATTCACAAAATACATCATAACACTCCCTTGTCTGCATAATAATATATTCTCCGAGTGTGCTTTGGAGCAGTGGTTTCCACCTGGTTGCTCTGTGGCGCCCTTAGAGCTCCGTGTGCACTCTCCAGAGGCCCCATAGCAACTCCAGGGAAATAAATTTTATTTAAGTTAAAGGTTAAGACTTCAAAAATGACATTGGCTCCCAGGTCGACCCAGCCTTGAATGGGTACCGGGTGTAGTCCCGGGAAGTAAGGGTCGGTCGGCGTGATGCTGACCCCATTACTCTTTTTGAGCCGTTGGTCTATAACATATAGGTCTAGCCCTATATGCCCTATATGCCTAAAAGTGTGGAAATGGGTCCTTTACTTTTTTTTTTTTAACCAAAGGGTAAGAAACATTACAATCTGCATACGATAAGGTAGACCTAAGGCAATCACCAAAGGAATTACTCTAAAAAGGACTCTTAAGAGTTAAAAAAAAAAAAAGTAGTGACGTGCTGCTTTAGGGTGGCGGAGTATCTAAGAGGTAGATAGGAATGTCGACATGTGCGTCTCTTAGTGCAGCCTAACCAACTTTGAAGTTATTTTTGCTTCTAACAATGGACTGGAGTCTATGGTTTTGCTGCCTAAGCTACTGTGTGTTTGGTGCAGTACTGTGAGCTGTCTACTGCGTACAGAATGTCTTCAATTGTGCCCATAGCAAAATAGTTACCTTATGGAATAACTGTGCCTGTATACAGTCAGCTCCTCATAACTGATTACTAACTTCTATCAATAATAAACTGCAGTTCTGGTGGCAAATGTTGGTGTTGGCACCCCAAACAGCAGCCTTATACATTCACTATGTGTGCATGTTTCTTGATTTTACTCAATTTTGTTCATTAGTTAGTTTTCATGTGGGACAGTGAGGAATATTTGTATGATTTCCACTGGCATAGGAATAGAGCAACCAGGGACAACCTGTCTGCAGGGAAGCCAAAACCTTGACTACCACAGCAAAACTGTGCCAGCCTTGAACTCATATCAGGTAAAGTCCTGGGAAGTAAATGCGGCTGATGTGTTTGACTAAATCATCTACAGAGTGCCGACTGGTGTATAAATTACAAGTCTTACCCAATGTGCCTAAAGGGATGGCAAAGGTTCCTTTTTTACTACTACTACAACACAGAACTTGCCAAGCAGTGACGTTTCACTACAAAAGCATTGTGTGTTCTTGTTTGACTACTGATTGTTATATACTTCACTCTGCTGACTTATTCTATCTATTCATCATCATCATCATCAGGTGCCTTGCCGACTGGCGTGGGCGATCATGCCTCTCCATAATCTGCGATCTCCTGCAGCATGCATCAGTTCGTGTGCCGACACACCTCCATGCCATGTAACAAGACTGTCAAGCATCTTCTCTCGTTGTCTTCCTCTATCTCTCCTTCCACAGATCTTTCCAGTGGTCACAAGATGTTCTATTTTCCCTCTTTTCATAACATGGCCAAAAAATGATGACTGTCTCCTTCTGATGTCTGTGATAAGTTGTCTTCGGGCTCCCGCCTCTTTCAAAACCTCTTGGTTGCTCTTTTTGGCTGTCCAAGTATTCTAAGCATTCTTCTGTAAAACCACATTTCTGAGGCCTCTAGAAATAGTTTGGCCTGCCTACCGATTGTCCAGGATTCACAGCCATATGTTAAAACTGGATATATGTAGCAAGCAAGAATTCTTTTTCTAACTCTCAATGGCAAGGATATATTGCACAAGATGTTTTTCATTTTATAAAATGCAGTTTTTGCCTGTCCTATTCTGTTTCTTATCTCAGTTATGCATCTTAAATTTCTGTACTTGTCCTAAAATAACACCATCAACTTTTATTACACACAGGAATAATTTGTTTCTTTGATACCACCATTACTTCTGTCTTCCCATTATTCAAACTGAGTTCTAACACCACAATGTCTATCATTTCCTGTAGTTCTTTCTGACTTGTTGCTATCAAGACTGTGTCATCAGCATAACGTAAATTGTTTATATTGTGCCCACCAACCACAATTCCGGGCATATCAATTAAAGATCTCATTAAATATTCACTGTATATTGAAAACAAATCAGGTGACAGTACACATCCTTGTCATACGCCCCTCTTTATGCTTTGAAATGTACCTAAACAGTTGTTAATTCTTATAGCTGCTGTTTGCTGCCAATACATATACTTTATTATTCGTAGATCTTTCCCATCAATGTTTAATTTTTGTAACAGTTTGATTACTTCTTCATGCTTCACACAGTCAAATGCTTTTGTATAGTCTATGAAGCATATGTACAAATCAGTCTTTACTTCTATAGCTCTTTCTGACAATGTCCTTAGGATGTATATGGCATTGTTTGTACCTTTTCCTTCTACAAATCCACATTGTTCATCGCTGATTTCTGGTTTAATTTTGTTTCTTATTCTTCTCATAATTATTCTCAGTGAAATCTTAGTTATGTGACTTATAAGACTTATTGTGCGATGGTCTTCACATTTTATAGTGCCTGGTTTCTTAGGCAGAGCTATAAATATGGATTTTAAAAGGTCATTTGGAATATACCCACTATTATAAATATCATTTAAATTGTAGCTATTATTTCAATTCCAAGATCTGCCATAGAAATATTCATCATATGATGGATAATAACTATGATTTATCATGACTGTTTATCAATGGATTAATTATATATTTCATAACTACCATAATCATTTTTTTTTTTTTTACATTTTTAATAGCTCTAACAATTTTTGCCTTCTTCCTCTCACCATATTGGAATTCAAAGGAGATAGGAGAGGATAGTAGAGAGAGAAAAAAAAAGGAGGAGGAGGGGAGATAGGCAGAGATGAAACCAAAATATAAAACTTTTTTAAATCATAAGAATGAACAGTATCAAGTAAATACATTAGAGGTTCACTATCAGTTCAACAGGAAGAGTGAGGGGCCTTTCATGTGACTGTCGTTGGCACGGAAACTGAACAAATAGGGTGACCCATTTCTAGGAAAGTTCAAACCTTGACTAATTTGACCAGGACTATCAGCATTTTGCAGCTAAACTTGGTGTTTAAAAAAAAATGTTTTCACGCCTTTCTTAGCAAAACTGAAACTGAACACTACTTTAATGTGTTCTAATATGAAATTGCTGACTCTGACATGACCTATATAAAACTGGGAAATTAAATTCTGGATTTCTCTGCTAAAGTAACTGACTAATTATGAGTTTTTTCTTTAAAGTCAGAGTGAATCTGCCTGAAAGGTGTGGGAACCAACAGTCAGCATGCTTAGGCCTATAAGCCAGGACTGTAAAACAAATGTGCGCACATAATTCAAGGTCTAGAATAAGAGCAAAGTCTAAAAATGGACACCCAACCAGAAATGTCCATCAGAATTTACAGCAAGTGAACATTAAGAAGAAGATATCAGTTAGTCTTTTGTTAACGCTTACATTTCTGTTGTTTGTTAACGCTTACATTTCTGTTGTTTGTACTGTGCATCAGTTGGAAAACTGAGTTTGAAGTTTTTCTTTTCTTCTTCTCCTCCTCCTGTGTTCAATCTTAAAATGGTGGCTGGCACATACACATGATTTACAGTAAAGTTTTTTGACCAAACATATTTGATTACAGTAAATCTGAAATAGTTGTCTTTTAGGACATGATTGGTGAGGGAGAGGAAGTTCTGTTTCCTACCTCCCCCACACAATGGGGACCAGAACCCAGGTTGCCTCACACGCATGTTGGGTAGGATCAGGTCTGGGTTGGTCTTCTACTTACACAAATTTTAAGTATATCATTCTCAACAGACTCAAACTCTATATCCTGAGAGATTACGTATAATTGAATATTGAATGTTGAATAAAGAATTAACATCACAGCAATTGGAATACCACCATAAGTGCGCTGTTCCCATCTTTAGCAGCAAGCAAAGAGTTCCAATTCCGATGGCACCAGTAAGTCTGATTGTATATCCCTCTCGCCTTTCCCCTGAGTGTTGGGCACTGGCCAGATGCCCTTGTAACTCCTCGCAGCGCCATTCTCCTCAGACCATAATGATACAAAATGTTAACTTCAGTTCGGCCAGACTTTTCTTGTGCAGTTTTTGAGAATCTGTTAAGATGTTTAAATACTGCCTTTGCCACCCCATAGCTCCTGCTTGAATAAATTTCAAATTTGTATTCTTCTTACTCCCCCTTTTTTCTTCTTGCCCTTTCAACTCCCAATGGAGCATTGGCTAGCAAGAACCACATGAAGCCCTTTGCTGTCTTTATCACGAATGACTGAATTTTGTAAATTAAAGTTGTCTATCATAGGAGGTAACTTTCTCATGTGCATTCAGGGCCCTAATTGTGGGGGAAAACAAGAATAAACCCACTGCCTTCCCCAACAAGCATGTCGTAAGAGTTGACTAATTGGGGGTTCCTTCAAAGTCAGAGCACATCTGTACAAACAGCAAGGAACAACCAGCTGCACAAAATAAGTCAGTAAAATGGATGTATACACAAAACTCAGGCCCTGGTACAAAGCCAAAGTCCAAATGGACGAACAACCAGAACTTTCTATGGGAGCAAAGAAGAAGAGGTGTATGAGGTAGCTAGTTTCAAGCCAATCCACCTTAATGTCATACTAGGACATGCATGGAAAATTACCATGTGACCATTCATTGCTTTCCTTATGAAGCCTTATAATGTATGAATGGTAAGCTTTCTCGTTTCCTTTAAATCGATTCGAACAGTTCCGGGACATTTTACTTCCTCAAGTGCAAGCCAGAAAAAAAAACTGTTTATGCGGTTAGTGGCTTAAGTGAATGGTGACTTGACTTACCATCTGCCAATAGCAAGCCAAGTCCGAAAATGAGGACAGCTGCCAGATGGCCGAGGAAATCCATTCTATTAGAATCACCCGATGTTCATTCATGCATGCAAAAGGTCAGGTTAGAGCGTTAGCACCTTGCATCATCGACACCTGTAAATATATTGAAATATTTGTTAAAACATTACAGAAGATATATTGTGCCATGTACTGTGTGTGTGTTTGGGGTTTCATTTGTGAATAATCACCTTTAATGCACACAGATATCTCTGTAAGGGCTTCAGTCTCCTTGAGATCACATATGGTAGAATTTTAACATAGTGCATGAACTATGTAACTACATTGAGGATGGTAATGTGTGTGAATGTAAAGTTAAAGGTCATAAAGAACAACTTCATGGCACTGGGTTTTGTCACATATGGCTTGGTGTCTCTCCAGAGAACCACTAGCCACTTGCAGAGAACATCTCATAAAGCATGAACACTATAGCTCCGGCGATGATCCCGGGGATTTCTGCAAAAATTGCACATAAACTGAATGACGACACAGCCATAAAACGAACCATTGACCTTCAGAGCACAAAGATCTTTAAAATGAATGTTCATGCACAACAAGACTAAAAGTCCACAAGTGCATGCAAAAGACTAAAAGTCCACAAATACATGAACAACAAGACTAAAAGTCAACAAGTACATGCACAACAAGACTAAAAGTCCACAAGTACATGCACAACAAGACTAAAAGTCCACAAGTACATGCACAACAAGACTAAAAGTCAACAAGTACATGAACAACAAGACTAAAAGTCCACAAGTGCATGAACAAGACTAAAAGTCAACAAGTACATGCACAACAAGACTAAAAGTCTACAAGTGCATGAACAAGACTAAAAGTCCACAAGTACATGCACAACAAGACTAAAAGTCTACAAGTGCATGAACAAGACTAAAAGTCCACAAGTACATGAACAAGACTAAAAGTCTACAAGTACATGAACAAGACTAAAAGTCAACAAGTACATGAACAAGACTAAAAGTCCACAAGTGCATGAACAAGACTAAAAGTCAACAAGTACATGAACAACAAGACTAAAAGTCCACAAGTGCATGAACAAGACTAAAAGTCTACAAGTACATGAACAAGACTAAAAGTCTACAAGTGCATGAACAAGACTAAAAGTCCACAAGTACATGAACAAGACTAAAAGTCTACAAGTACATGAACAAGACTAAAAGTCAACAAGTACATGAACAAGACTAAAAGTCCACAAGTGCATGAACAACAAGACTAAAAGTCTACAAGTACATGCACAACAAGACTAAAAGTCCACAAGTGCATGAACAAGACTAAAAGTCTACAAGTACATGCACAACAAGACTAAAAGTCCACAAATACATGAACAACAAGACTAAAAGTCAACAAGTACATGCACAACAAGACTAAAAGTCCACAAGTACATGCACAACAAGACTAAAAGTCCACAAGTACATGCACAACAAGACTAAAAGTCCACAAATACATGAACAACAAGACTAAAAGTCCACAAGTATATGAACAACAAGACTAAAAGTCAACAAGTACATGCACAACAAGACTAAAAGTCTACAAGTACATGCACAACAAGACTAAAAGTCCACAAATACATGAACAACAAGACTAAAAGTCCACAAGTACATGCACAACAAGACTAAAAGTCCACAAGTACATGCACAACAAGACTAAAAGTCAACAAGTACATGAACAACAAGACTAAAAGTCTACAAGTACATGAACAAGACTAAAAGTCAACAAGTACATGAACAAGACTAAAAGTCCACAAGTGCATGAACAAGACTAAAAGTCAACAAGTACATGAACAACAAGACTAAAAGTCCACAAGTGCATGAACAAGACTAAAAGTCTACAAGTACATGAACAAGACTAAAAGTCAACAAGTGCATGAACAAGACTAAAAGTCTACAAGTACATGAACAAGACTAAAAGTCAACAAGTACATGAACAAGACTAAAAGTCCACAAGTGCATGAACAAGACTAAAAGTCAACAAGTACATGAACAAGACTAAAAGTCTACAAGTACATGAACAAGACTAAAAGTCAACAAGTACATGAACAAGACTAAAAGTCTACAAGTACATGAACAACAAGACTAAAAGTCCACAAGTGCATGAACAACAAGACTAAAAGTCAACAAGTGCATGAACAAGACTAAAAGTCTACAAGTACATGAACAACAAGACTAAAAGTCAACAAGTACATGAACAACAAGACTAAAAGTCTACAAGTACATGAACAAGACTAAAAGTCTACAAGTACATGAACAACAAGAATAAAAGTCAACAAGTACATGAACAACAAGACTAAAAGTCTACAAGTACATGAACAACAAGACTAAAAGTCAACAAGTACATGAACAACAAGACTAAAAGTCTACAAGTACATGAACAACAAGACTAAAAGTCTACAAGTACATGAACAACAAGACTAAAAGTCTACAAGTACATGAACAACAAGACTAAAAGTCCACAAGTGCATGAACAACAAGACTAAAAGTCCACAAGTGCATGAACAAGACTAAAAGTCCACAAGTGCATGAACAAGACTAAAAGTCCACAAGTACATGAACAACAAGACTAAAAGTCCACAAGTGCATGAACAAGACTAAAAGTCTACAAGTACATGCACAACAAGACTAAAAGTCCACAAGTACATGAACAACAAGACTAAAAGTCTACAAGTGCATGAACAACAAGATTAAAAGTCCACAAGTACATGCACAACAAGACTAAAAGTCCACAAGTACATGAATAACAAGACTAAAAGTCCACAAGTACATGCACAACAAGACTAAAAGTCCACAAGTACATGCACAACAAGACTAAAAGTCCACAAGTACATGCACAACAAGACTAAAAGTCCACAAGTGCATGAACAACAAGACTAAAAGTCCACAAGTGCATGAACAGAAATTTCTGCTGAGTTTTAAGCTCGTGAATGTGAAGAAGATAATTCCCTGAAGATTACATGAAACTCATTTTATGAAGTTGAGCTGCCCTGAAGAAAAATAACGGCAAGGAAAAATAACAATACAAGTAATCCCACTTCTGAAGATTTGAAATTAGGCCACTGTCTTGGTAAGAAAGTGTATGGTTACTGTATAACTGTGTCTAAATAAAATGTATGCAATGTTTAGAAAAAAAAAAAAAACTTTATACTATTTTATGTGTGCTCGTCTGAAAAATGAAACCTGCACAGATTCTTGGTTAGCCTAATGACAGCACCACTCCCACTTGAAATCTGTGACCTGCATGGTTGCTAAATTAGCTTAATAAATGTACTAGCCTTTCTTCAGGACTATGACCTATGCTGTTATTAAGAAAACCTAATAACAGTCCTTTTTTTGTACCCAGCAACATTTAACTATACTTCCGACACACTCACAGTAACATAAAGTTTATTTATGTGTGATATTTATTATTTAAATTTGATTAGGCTTAAAGCTAGCGAAAAACCTGGCAAACTTGTGTTCAGAAAGTGATAAATGAGAGGGAAGCTGTCCATTCGCCCTCTTAGGCCTCTGCTGTTCGGATGAGTAGCATGTAGTTTTGATTTTCCTGTTGTGTTCAGGGGTTTAGCGCGACACAGGTTGAGGTGTGTATGCAGAGATAGGTTTCATCTGTTGTAGGGTATTTTCGAACACATTGTGAATTTAAATGCATTAATATTTGTGGAGAAGTTAGCTTATGTTCAGTGAAATAAACAGACGTTGAATGTGATAATTAAAGTTCCAGTTGTTATGATTCAGATTAGGAATTGTCATTACTAAACCTAATTTACTGTTACTGCTATCTGGTCTGTATACACAATATCCTATGTCTCGGCTAGAACCTTTTTGGTTCTAGTCCCCACCTAACGAACTGTTTTTCCTAATTTTTCTTGGTACTTAGGCTATTGAGTCTAGTACATATGTCTATGCATAAAAGAGTTGCACAATGTTATCTTTTGTTTACATGTATGACAAAGCATAAAGTTTACATACGACCAACTAGCTACAGTCAATACACTTTATCAGCAGACTGTTCTCTTAGCAAACCAAGATCCAGGTAAGGAGAGATTACCTGCATACTTCTATTGACTGTTCTCCAGTAAAATTTTGCTGAGCCACCTAGATTTTGTTGTTGTAAGCAGATGAGGTAAAAGGCCTGAGAAAAAGACGGGTTCATGTGTCGCATCAATCAGCAACCTACTTTTTAGCCAGAGGTGACCCAGCAACATATAAATAAAAGTGGTGTCTGGATTGAAGAAGAAGAAAAGAATGGTGAAGAAGAAACAATAGCAGAAGAAGAAAAAAAGAACAAATGAAGAAGAAAAAGAAGATTCAAATTTCTCTAAAATCACAGATTTTTCCAAACTGGTTGATCCAGTCTAAAGTAGGTCCACGAATTGTTCTTTGAAACACACACACCACCCATCAACTGCACATTGGTCTACAAAAATACTGGACCATAAATGCGATAAACATGACTGCAAGAAAAGATTTTGTGACAAACCTTGCTATAAAACTAAGTGATTTGTATGCATTCTTGTCTGCCATTGTTTAGTCTGTTGGTGTTATGTGCTGATAAAGGCTTTTTAGCTGCAATGTTCACTGTGTTATTAATCCAATAATATGCTTGCAAATCAAGGAAGTAAAAGTCTGTGTGATTAAAGTCTGTGTGATAAAGACAAGTTAAATATTTCCACTAAAGACTAGATAAGAAAAGAGGTTTTAAAAAATCAATTGATAAAATAATGTTAGCTGTATATTCTGTTCAGTATGTCATAAACCAAGACCACCATTTGTTGGCAATGTTGCTGTGATTTTACAAGGCAATTTTTATTTTCACATGCATTGTTATTTTTTTCTTCAGTGGTATTAGAACAGTTGTCTCAATACTCATTCTCCGAAGGCCCAGGTGGCTGGGTCAAACCTGGAGAATGGAGGATGGCAGAGTCTATAAGGAAATCCTGTATGGGGAATTAAAGATGGGCACAAGATGCTGATCCTGGCTTCTACAATGATGTATAAAGTTGTGTGC